ACAAATAAGCCTATTTAATCATATTACTTCATATTTTAGCATTTTCTTACTGGTAGCAGTTTTGTCGCAGTTGACACTTGGTTTCGGCTTCGAACATGATGGTTCACTCTTCTTGACTGTTCAGTCAACGTCCATACAGATAATCATCCAGAATTCTAGGATTACTGTGCTTTACATCGATTATTTTTGTTACGCTAGCTTCCAACACACGAGTTTCTTAAAGGCTGTTCATGAACAATTGCAATTAATAATTTACTGAAAGAACGAATCATGAAACTTTAAGTTCATCCTCAGTGACTAAAAAACCGGATTACTGAAATACCAGTCGATTTCATTCTCGAGCATGTTAATATGTATACGCTCATATTTTGAATTCAGAGGACAATTTTTAAACTTGAGATCAGCTCCTGCTATGTTCGATTTATTTTGATTGAACATATCTTTTAGATAGCTTACTATATTGGAAGATCCCATCAGCGTTATATAAAGGAGTTTGTTGAAGACTTCACGCCACTTGCAAATGTATAGGTCTCAGTTTCAGACAAATAAATACACAACCATGAAGTTTACTAAGCCTCTCCCTTGTTTTGCCATGATAGACCTGCAGCGTGGTGTCAAGTTGAGATTAACAATGAACACCGCTACCAAGAAACACGTGCCAAGTAAATCAGAAGGCGAAGGTTGAACGTAACCAAATAAATCCATAAAATCCCCGAGAAGCCAAATATCAGAAGGCAGGTAATGGACCAAGTCGAGATATATTTGCTGGCGATCTCGTGGTATCGAAAGGATACCGAGATCGTGCCAGGATATAAGCTTGGTTACAGAACGTAACCGAATTCGCGCGAAGTTACAATCAAAGTGTAAGTATAAGAATGGAAGCATAAAATAGCTGTCATTAGCACAGTCAAACAAAAGCACGTTAAAACAAACACTGGTACAGCTGGTTATAATAATAATTGTTTTTATTAAACCGGTCGTGTTCTCGTGATAAATGTGAGTCACTACAGACCCATAATAGTTTATACCATTTATTGCCATTAATTGTTGAATATGACATGGATTCCTTTTTGCGCTAAAGATATGAATCCGTGTCACCTTTCTCGTGGTCAAACCACTCCTTAATCTCAGAAACTGAGTTCAAGCTGTTTTTCTTACATGTGACAAACCGGCATATCCTTTTAGCTTATTAGTATGCTGTAAAGTGAAATAAATAATTGTGTGACTCAAGGATAATATGAAAGAATGTTTTTTTGCCTCAGACCTAGAAATTATCAGAATCCAAACACCATTACACAACAATCCGACTACCATCGAAGTTTTTAACTCCCATTATGGGTAGTTCATCACTTTCATTCAGTAACTAGTTTCGGACATCATAGATATTTTATTCTATTTTCTGAATTTCATGTTTTGATCAAATAATTTCAGATATAAGCGATCCAGCTGTAGTTCTTCAACCCTGCGCACATTCGCAATCAAGGATAAATCAATTCTTCTGAAGAATGTTATTGGTAGATATCATTCATATACAGCATAATCATGTTTACAATACGACCCATTGAGTATATTTTCTGATCTAAAGTTCACTGAGCTAGGGTGCAACTACTTACAAACCTCTATATACCAAAATACTATTCAGCTCGTTCTAGTATTCAAGATAACCTTTATCCTATTATTCAGCCCTAAGTATCAGAATATCGATTGTAGGTAAGCCTTTATCTTTATTCACTTGATATAATTTAAATACATGTGAGTTTATGTACACGAATTATCAGATTGGAAAATAGCTTGAATAAAGAACATTAATTTCTGGACAATCAAGCTTTAATTGATAAAGAATAAGGCAGTAGTAAATGAGCTTAACGGAATCCTTCGATGCATGGAATTCAGGAATAAAATATTCTAGTTATTTCATAATTATTAGATCAAAGGATATGCAGTATTAATTCATAAAGGGTTTCCAAAAGTTCTAACATTCTCAACATTTTATTCGTTAAAACATGTTTTCCGTGGGATTTCGCTTAAAAGGACTTTTCGAATCCTGAAAACACCTTGTACTCGGTAGCGGAATGTTTAATAGAGTTATATGGACAAACTAATTGGAGCACTTACTAGCCCCATTGATTTTAACTATATGTAGTGACGTAATCTCTGATTGCTCTCTCACCAGTCATACTTATGCCTTCTCGTTATGCGGGATAAACGTATGATGTTTTGTATCCTTCCGTGTAAATATATATTGTCTTTTGTCAAGTGAAGTGACATTGAACTCTAGTCTAACTATTTGCCGAGTTGAAAGCATTTTTATCTTTGGAGACTTACAACCGGTTGTTGGATGATTGATGATAAATGATGAAGGTCAGTAGACGCTAATTCGAGTTGATTAATGCATAGTATAACGAGCTAATACAACATAATTCTCCAATCCAATCTGGTAAGTAAATAAGCATTTTTAATGTGGTGTTGGCCATACCCTAAATGCATTTTGGGAGCCTTCAAACAACAAATACGATTTAATACGACATATTGAATTTAAAGATGAAAGAGGTACAAAAGTTATCATATTAGGAAAAGCAAGTGATACTCTCGCAGTTTTCTCGTCTCTGACTTTTCTGACCTTCTCTGTTTTGCATCAACTATACTGTTCAGTGTTTAACGTCTGAAGATAGAGTACGTTTGGTTTGAACAATAATCTGGTTAGAATTTATTGTTACACCACTGTCACTAGAAGTTTATTGTAAGTCCTAGACTTAATCCTACAACTACTTTGATCGGTAAATTCTGGATCACTTCTATCCTTTCATGTGAATATGGAATCATCTCACAGAAGAACTACCTAAACTACTTAGAAGTGTCTTGTAGATGATGATATTTGATGGCGTCTGACATTTATGTATCAGATGCCCAACTCACTTATCCTAAACTGGAAGCTCCACAGTCCAGAGACGCCACAGACTAGCTTAATAGCAGATATCCAGACTGAAAATAAAGTGCAGGTTGACCAAATAAATCTACTATGTATGTGGTAAGGAAAAAATAAAGACGAAGACAAATTGCAACTTAGCTCATTCATAAATCTACAATCAAATTCAATAAGTTAACTGCTCTCTTTGGTCAGTAATGATATTGAAAGCAACGGTCATATTTATGAGTCAAATCGCGACATCCTCGTTGAAAAATCAGTTAAATGCAACTTATCACTACAAATCGAATTCCTTGATTATGAGAAGGCGTTTGACTGTATGGATGTGAGAACATTATGGAAACGTCTTCGACACTATAGTGTGAGTGGCTGGGAATATCGTGAACATAACCCGACGGACTCCATACGATGGACTACACTGCAAATTCGTACATGGAGGACAGCTGACAGATGCATTCCAAGTGAGAACCGGAGTCAGATAAGACTGCCTACTCTCCTCCTTTCTCTTTCTTCTGGTGGTTGACTGGATTATGAAGACCTTCACATCTGACGGGCAGCACCGAATAAAATGGAGAGCTTGAATACAACCAGACGACTTGGACTTTGCAGATGACCTAGTCCTTGTATACCATACACACCAACAAATGCAGGCCAAGACAAACAATGTAGCAGCAGCCTCTGCGTCAGTGGGCTTCAATATACACAACGGAAAAAGCAACATCCTCATATACAACGCGGAGGACATCAGTCCAGTTACAATTGATGGATAAACCCTTGTAAAGGTTAAATCTTTTACGTATCTGGTTAGCATCATCGACATATAACGAGGATCTGATGCAGGCGTAAAGGCGAGGATTGAAAAAGCAAGAACATATGGGACTTAAAACGACTGTCAACCAATATCAAAGTCACAATCTTCAATACGAATGTCAAGACAGTGAGATCTACTGTATGGAGCTGAAACTTGGAGAACTACTACAACCAAAATAGAAAACGTACATGAATTCATAAACAGCTATCTATGCAAGGTACCACCAGCAACAGCTGATGGCGGAAATTAGGAAAAGACGTTGGAAGTGGATAGGACACACATTGAGGAAATCAAACCACATCACGAAGCCAGCGCTGACTTGGAATCCTGAAGTGAAACGGAAAAGAGGAAGGGTGGAGAACACACTGAGTCGGGATTTAGAAACAGACATGAATAGCAACTGGAAACAAGTGGAAAGGATTGTCCAGGACAGAGTTGGATGGAGAGTGCTGATGGGCGGTCTATGGTCCTCCATGAGGGGTAACAGGCGTAAGGAAGCAATTGAAATTATATATATATATATATTTCATGTTTATGATGTTTGAATGCTGATATGAATACCAGAAGTGGAGGGAAATTGAGTGGAACATAGATGCATGGTTATTCTAAGAATATCGGACCATTGAAAGCTGGTTCATACTTTAAGCTAAATGACAATCATAACTGGTATAAAGTTTTGATAGATTATAAGTTGAAATTTTTAGTTCTATGTCAATAAATAATAGAGGAGTCTTGACAGATATAACAATGAATTATCAACAAAACGTTTAGAATATGGATTTTTAAGGGTTCATTAGAATACCATGAATGATCGGCCTGGCTTACTAACAAATGAATTACACTATTGTACACATTTACCAATACGACCAATAAAATTACCCAACAAAAGCAAATCAATGTTCTTTTATTAACTTGTTGTTTAGTGTTATTCAAAGAAACGCCATTTAATAAAAGTAGAATAAGGTTAGAATTTAAAAATTCTGGTTAGGTCAAATTTAGTATCAAAATATGCTATCTTATACAATCTATGTAGTACATTGGAAGGTATCACAAATTCATCGATCAAATACACGTTCTTATTACATAAATAGTTAAACCATGTATAATCATATGACATACAAATAATCTGTTGTAAAATACACTTTATATTAACAGAATATACTTTAGTAGTAATATGAATTAAGCAATACAACTTTATAATTCATCTTTGAGATTGTAGATAACCATCTTTAAAATCTTTGAAATATGAAAATTGACGCTTACGTTTTCCATGATCTGAAAATAAACAAACAATATATATAAAGAGGAATGCATTTACAAGTAGTTCTTATGATATTTTAAACGGTAATATTTGTGTAGAGTAAAACATTTTCATTGTTAATAGACCATTTGTAATATATCTATTAAAATAAGAAAGATTAGTTCAGCGAAGAGTTCTCTTTTCAGCGAATACATTTACAAAGCTGTACAAACATAAATGTATACTTATTTTTTGAAATGATAATAAACACAATAATAAGATAATAAAATTCTGTCAAACATAGTAATAATGAGGTAGAATAAAAAAAGGTATTAAAACATTTTTTCAGTATCGGGTTGCGGAAATTAAGTTATTGATAGAGATCATGAATCGATTGATGTTAGACTACCAATCGAAACCTGAAAGTACTAGACGACCGTTTCATCCTATTAAAGGACTCCTCAGTAGTGCGCATCCACGATACCACGTCAAAGGGACACGAATCCACGAATTCCCGTCTCGCGCACGAACGCTTAACCATTAAACTACCGAGTCGTCATCCAACAGTGTTAATGTCTAACTTCAACCAATCCACGAGATTGTGCAACCATCTTCCATTGTACTGAAGTAGATACCTGTCTCTACCTGATACGAATTGGATTCCACTGTTCACGGCTTCTCACAAGAACTATGAGAATTCTCTCATGAATCTAGTCACTAGTGAGCAATCTTAATTATCAGTATGAGCAGTAGGCTTCACATGTTTCCATTACTTACAAAAACTTAGTAGAGATCCACTCGTAATTAACTACAAAATTTATTATTTGCTGTAAATGTTACATTTTTTTTCCTACAATGCTCTGTGTTTAAAACATCTGTTTTCAATCGAAAAATGTTACGGACAGAAGTGAAACTAATTTATAGATGACATCTTAGGGATATCATAGTGGCTTTGAGAAACTTCCACCACTTACTATGGTCAAAACAGAGTTATAAATCAGCGTTAGGAATAAGAGTTAAGAGTTAGAGTCAGGATTTTCAACACAAACTGACATCATTTATAATGTCAAAGTTCTATTCAGGTGTGAGGTTAACTATCATTTTCTTAATACTTAATAAAAGTACAATATCTACCGTTTTTCCGCTGATTTAATTAGCTATTGTGGAATATAAGAGCATACTTTTTACTTGATATTTCATTTTCATTATTTAAATCTATCTATGTGTCTTCTGAAAACACATTACTGTAATCAATCCCAACTTACCAGATTAAGAAAGCAAATAAAGTAAGAGTTTGAAATGAAATCTTTAGTGAAAATGATGCTTTCGTATGCTTAAAAATGCTTGATACCACACACTACATATTGATCAATGAAGAATAGATATACCACAAATTCATGAGCATATACCCTATCTAACTCCCTAGCCATATAGATAAATAAGTTTCGTACCAAAATCATTTATTTGTTTATAGACTTATTTTTAATATTCACTAAAATCTCTCAAATAACTTCTATGATTAACCGATATGTCCATTTAAACATTAAAAAAATTTAAAAAACACGAAGTTCAACGAAGGGATCTCTTTTCAACGAATTTATTATTAAGCTGTACAAGTTGTACATACATCTCGTGAGATGGGCTCGTGGATAAGCACTGCTGAGGAGTCCCACAATAGGACGAAACAACCGTCCAGTGCTTCCAGGTTTTCCATGGTGGTCTAGCTTCAATTGACTCATGATCTCAACTGTTTAAATTACTACAATCTTTGCAAAACCTTTTCTGATACAAATTTAATGTTAATATCCGTATTACGTAACCTAGTACTATAATCTTTCTATTACGTCATCTTGGTTATTTGTGTTCACATTTCCTCAAGAAATTAGTACTTTAACAACAACAAAATTTCATATATATACGATTGTACAGCTTGATAATAAATTCGTTGGAAAGAGATCTCTTCGCTGAACTTCGTGTTTTTAATCTCGAGTAAATCCATAATACTACAAGGAGATTTAACCTACGTAAATACTCAGTTAACGGGATACTATTTATTGGAGTCAGATATAGAGGAACTAACCTTTCCAATGTGTAGAAAAGAAATTGGTACAACCATCAACCATGGTCTTAATGTCTTATGATTTTATTTCTTCTTCATACTTTTTTTATTCACATCCATTTATTTCCCCTTCTATTTTCACTATAGACCTCTTACCTCCAACTGGTATTTTTTATTTCTATGATCCTCCTGATTACATTTTATCTTATTTTTTCGAGCCATTCTTTCCCAATTATGATTTCCCTATCTGTATTCATGATGAACATTCAAGCTCTTAACAATAAAACTGTTATTAGTTTCCCTGATAGAAAAAATGTTTTTGATTGAGATCATGGATCGATTGATGTTAGACCACCATTGAAAACCTGGAAGCATTGATTGCAATCAAAAACTTAGTAATCTCCACAGCCCCATACTGATAATTATGATTGCTCACTAGTGACTAGATTCGTGAGAGAATTCTCATAGTTCTTGTGAGAAGCCGTGAACAGTGGAATCCAATTCGTATCAGGTAGAGACAGGTATCTACTTCAGTACAATGGAAGATGGTTGCACAATCTCGTGGATTGGTTGAAGTTAGACATCAACACTGTTGGATGACGATTCGTTAGTTTAATGGTTAAGCGTTCGTGCGCGAGACGGGAATTCGTGGATTCGTGTCCCTTTGACGTGGTATCGTGGATGCGCACTGCTGAGAAGTCCTATAATAGGATGAAACGGTCGTCTAGTACTTCCAAGTTTCGATTGGTAGTCTAACATCAATCGATTCATGATCTCAATCAAAACCTATTTATAAAGGTGAAATTGAAGTGAAATACTAACTAAAAGACGATTTATTACAAAACGTAAAGATGGATGATTCAGTAAATGTTATTTACTTCTAACAAAGTTGCGTACACAAAATTACTTGTACTTTATCAAAGATAATTATCAGACTTGGATGAATTTCTTACGTTGTTCGTTTATACTTTAATGAATGATTTACTACCATTATCTGTTATTAATTGTATATTGGATTATTTTCTCAATGTATTCACCTAATGTAGTGAACAAGAACACGAATGGGGACAATCGAAGGTATTTGACATAAAACTACAGAGCATCTCACTAAAATCTGAGAACCCTCTAGTAAACAGTTAATTTGCAAAATATCAATCCATCGTCTCAAACTTCCCTGTTCCTTTTGCAAATATCAATCCATTGTCTCAGATTTCATTGTTTATGCATTTTCATACCAATTGTGTTCCGTCTCCATTCTTTCCTTATCGATCTTCTACTGACTACTGCTATATACTACTTATATGGAAATAAGCAACCCACACCACAATAACAGTAATATCTGACTGGTTACTAATTTAGTTCAATTGAGTAGTTTCTTGGACGATAGTTAACATTTTGATCAAGTCAATTTAATAGTAGTATACTATACTAATGATCTTGAACAAATTCTAAGCCATTCAAGAAACAGAGTTAAGTCATAAAATATTTCACAAAAATGGGCAATACAATTATATGAGGAGAATAATTTTATTATAATTAATTAACCCTCTCAAATTGAATTATTCTTTATAGTCAAGTCAAAATGTTATGTTTACATATTGCGAGTATGATTTAGATTGTGAGTTAGATTTGTAAACTTATAGGGTTTTTATCATGAACTGACAGCATCTGTAACGTAATAATGCTTTGTCGCACTTAAAAAAAACTTAGGCTGAGATTTAAAGTTAGGACTTAGAATGAGAATGTTCTATCTAGCTATACCAACACCTATGATTGTGCATCACATCTCATCAAATACTTTAACTTAAAATCTGCATCAGGAAAAGATACATCTTATGATTTAGCTTAGACCCCATATCTTATTTACTATTTGATTGAATAGTATATTGTTTTTTTATTGATCGCAGTCATTTTACGAACCAAATGTTGTCAGTTTTCACTTAGTTCATAATTAAAACTATGTTTTCAGTTTTGAGTGAAACTTCATGATTCTACTATCTTTCGACTGGTTCACTCAAGACCGACAGTCTAGTATACTTTTTACCCAATATGTATAAGAACTTTCGTTTAAATTTGATCAGATAGTGTCACAGTATTTGGTCGCCGAGTTGATGTGACATATTAATGAGCAAGAATGTAAAATCCAACATTTTGCCTGACAATCTTGTCTAAGTTTTTTCCAAGGAGTTATAATCAAACATCAAAACTATCGACATTATATAATACAAATACAAAAGAAAGTGAACTAACCGTTGTTTTTAGCAAAAATTGTTTGTCTTAGATATCCACAACAAATAATTATTACGTATACCAGTATTTTTATGAAACTTGAACATAATAACTAGATAAATGTGGAGAATAGTTAGAGATAAATCAACGACAGTATAAGTACCTTTAAAAATGACATCTTTTTCTATATTCTACAATAAATAATAAAAGTTTGATTCATTATTCCCAGTTTAGTTTACATCCTTCGGGATTTTCAAAAGATGTGACCATACATATTTATCCTTATTTATATATGTATATATGAACTTCCTTATTTCTGATTGGTTAATTTTTCAACAGGATTATCCAATCAGAATTGTATATTTTTGAACGCATAACATTTTTATGTAGATATTATAGATAATGTAATGAATTAATTTACATTGTAATTTATTGGTTAATATGGAACAAATGTAAAAATTTGCTTTAGAAAAACTATATTGTTTTTATAAGCAATCATTGATGGTGGCTAGCAGTGGAAACACGGATGCGCGTTTCGTCCTATTTGGGACTCATCAGCTGGATGTACCTGTATCCTAAAGTTGATGTCCACTCTGGGACTTGAACCCAGTACTGCTCGCGTCAAATGTCATAGCGTTATCCACTTAGTTACTGAGTCCTGATAACCGCTAGCTCGTACAATGGGGTGAAGTTTAAATTCACATGGTACTTTTTTATTTGAATCTTCCCATTGACGTTCAAGTCACAGTAACTAGGTGGATAACGTGATGGCGTTTGAAGTGAGAGGTACTGGGTTCGAGTCCCGGAGTGAACATCAACTCTAGAATACAGGTGCATCCGCTTGACGAGTCTCAAATGAGACGAAATGCTCGTCAAACTGGATTCTACTGCTACTCACTATCAATCTTTGTTTATAATGTTTGTGAAATAAGATCATATCGAGGCAATAAGCACACGATGCACATATGCCTATAAGGGAAACTGATCAATTGCAATCCTAAACATCAATGTGAAGATTCAAGCAAAGAATACCATATGAATGTTGTTTTTAATTTTATCAAAAACAAATTCACTCATTAAATGGAATAATCTATACCATATTGTTCTTCGAATGTAAAACAGATTGTTCAGTTTGGTGTTAACAGATGTTTTGTCGGTAAAAGACTATATGTATATATAATACTAATTATATTAAAAGTAGTCATTAAAATGGATATGAAATCTTAAATTAATTAATAAAACATATTGCAGATTAGGCTAAAGATTCTATCTGTGTGTAATTATACAGAATAAAATGGAAAATAGTTTAACATTTAATTCAATCGATACGGATTTGCATATTATTAGCCACTTACTTCATATTCAATACGATCTATTCAAGTGAGTTCAGAGACGTTTTCTGTCTTCATAAGTAGATCCATCTATTACTAATGGAGTATAGACTTTTAGACATAGAAGGGAATGATACTGCCAGTTAGTTTCTTTGACTATGAAATCAGGATTTTAGCATTGGATAATTGAGTGTGAATGAATCATTTGAAATCTGCTATTTGACTGGCAAATATTATCAACGCTTATATTTGAGAATAAAATAAATTAGTTTGAATTGAAAAGTTTATAGAACCATTTTATTGTTATTCCAGATCAATAGAGACAGAATATCTCTTGGATCTTGTTAAAGTACTGGTACGGTTACTTGATGCAATTGAGGAAATAACTGGTCACTTGCTTCTGTATAACTCGAGAAAGATTGGTATGACTCGTAGTATACAAGACTACAGATGAGGGTTTGCTAAGACTATAAAAAAAATGCACAACAGACGCAACTATTAATTTCCACTGCAATTCCAAGAACTGTACCAACATATGTATAATTTAATTATTTGATCAATAGGTAAATTTCAATATATCAGTATGGCGGTTGAGGAAATTGTTAAATTTGGTTGAAATTGCAAGTTAGACAACCATTGAAAACCTGAAAGCATTGGAAGATCGTTTCGTCCTGGTACAGGAACCTTCAGTATTGCACATCCACGACACCCAACCTTCAGCCTTGCGTGTAGATGCTTAAAATCAAGACCACTGAGCTGGTATCCAACGGTGTACAAGTCTATGAACAAGTCAATGATTATCTATCTTGAATCGGTTTGTGTTTTAAATGAAATTTAACAATCTTCACAATCCCATACTGATAGTTATCGTATGCTGACTAGTGACTCACTTCGAGAGGAAATTTCCGAAGTCCCGGTGGAAGGCCATGACCAGTGTAGTTAAGTCATGTAGGTCGTACGGGAATTACCCTCCAAAAACGATGGAAGATGGTCTTGGATTGATTAAAGTTAGACTTGTACACCGTTGGATCCCAGATCAGTGATCGATTGGCGGGCGTTAACATATGAAACTGAAGGCTCTAAGTTTGATTCCGTGTTGGGAGGTGGTGAATATACACTACTGAGAAATCTCATACTAGAATGAGAAGACCATGGAGTGATTCCATGTTTTCAATGGTGGACTTACTTAGATTGGTTCGTGATTTCACGCTAATCCGAAAGTATTCAATTACGTAGGCAGAAGTTGATATAAATTATTGATAAATAAAGGATATGTGCATAGCTTACAGTTTACATTAACTGATCATCATATATCAGCTGAGTCGATGGAGAGTGAATAAAATCTTAATCTGTCAAACATCTCTGTTTTCTTCCTTCAATCATGCAAATTACAGTTTCTCCTGCACCATATTTCATGTTCACTTTCAAGAGGTTGTAACAAGTAATGACTGAGATGTGATTAAAAATGGATGTAATATTGAGTAAAAATCACAATTAATTGTAAGAAGAAACACACACACACAACATAATCTAGTAATTGTACTTACTTACTTACGCCTTTTACTCCCAATGGAGCATAGGCCATCGACCAGCATTCTCCAACCCACTCTGTCCTGGGACTTCCTTTCTAGTTCTATCCAATTCTTGTTCATTTTTCTCATGTCTGTCTCTATTTTCCGGCGTAATGTGTTCTTCGTTCTTCCTCTTTTCCTTTGGTCTTGAGGATTCCATGTGAGGGCTTGTCTTGTGACTCAGTTGGGTGCTTTCCTCAATGTTTGTCTTATCCACTTCCAGCGCTTCTTCCTGATTTCTTCCTCCGCTGGGATCTGGTTTATTCTTTCTCACAGTTGGTTATTGCTGATAGTGTCCGGCCAACAGATACGAAGTATTTTGCCTAGATAGCTATTAATAAACACTTGTATCTTCTGGATGATGGATTTCGTCATTCTTTAAGTTTCCGCCCCATACAGTAGAACTGTCTTGACATTTGTATTGAAAATTCTGACTTTGTTGTTAGCTCGTTGACAGTTGTTTTGAGTTCCAAATGTTCTTCAATTGTAAATATACTGCTCTTGCTTTACCGATCCGCGCTTCCACATCTACATCAGATCCACCATGTTCATCAATAATGCTGCCCAGATTTGTAAAGGTTTTTACGTCTTCCAAATCTTCTCCGCCCGGAGTCCCTCCGGGGGCTACTGCCGGCCCCGAACCCGGATAGAGGAGGAGGGTCGGGCATGGGGTTAGCGACCCCATCCCGTAGAAAACTAACTCCCTAAAAAACGCTAACGAGAAAAAGTTATTCATTTAGTAATTGTACTGATCAACGTAAAAAGAAAACACACAAACTATTTCATTATTGCTTAGGAGTCTCATACTAGAATGAAATAACCATCTAATTCTTCCAGGTTTTCCATGATAGTCTACTTTCAATTAACTCATGAATTCAACTATTAAATTATTTCATTACTAATAAGAATCCACGTGACGAAATACCGATTGTATAGATTTTTCTATGAAGTTAAATTTATATTTTATAGGATAAATCAATTTCCTACTGATAAGAAATATCTGGATGAAAATAAATCAGCGTCGCTTTTTCCCCCTTTTCTTCTTTCCCTTCTTCCCCTTCTTCTTCTTCTTCTTCTCCTTCTTCTCTCTTCTCCTCCTCCTCCTCCTTCTTCTTCTTCTTCACCTTCTTCTTCATTTTCTTCTTTACATATTTAATATTTTGATCAACAGAAATGTTATTTAGTTTAAACATTTTAGCATCTTATCACATGGCAGACTGTTTATAAATTCAGGGTTGACAACTAATATTTCTTTATTATTATTATTATTGTTGTTGTTATTATTATTATTATTATTATTATTATTGACTGTCATGATTACGTAACTGGGTAGATATTGTGTAAAAAAAATAATAAGACAAATAGAATTCGATAAAAAAAGAGGAAATCTATGAATTATGACATGGCGATAGTTGAGTAGTAATTAAACTTAAGGTTAGTGCCAAATTATACTGATATGTATGAATCAAGATGAAGAAAACACACTTCAAGGTCATGATGTAGATTTTTGATCGTGATGATTGAAAATCGATAATAAGGATTTAGTATAGAATGATAATATTGAATGTAGAATACAAGAGTTCTTTTGTCTAAAATGCACAGTACTGATATTACAGGACAGAATACGTATCTGTGAATTTGCAGTGCATCTACTCCACAATGTTCGATATGTAAACAATATCTAGCATTTTTTTCATTCATTAATTGGGTGCTTACTGAATAAAAGAGTGTAATTTTCATTGAGGATTTTATTTAAAGTTCTAAATCCCCACTATTGAAAACCCGCTCGCGGGATCGTGGATGATCAGTGCTGAGGAGTCCCACAATAGGACGAAACGGCCGTCCAGTGCTTCCAGGTTTTCAATTGTGATGGTCTAACATCAATCGGTTCATAATCTCAATCAAAAACACATAAATCTTACTTCGTTTGACTGATGTGATCACTTTCACATTTTTCTGACTTGACCTATGTATACAGAAGGAAAGGTTGATTAGCCTTTCTCTGTCATGGTGATTGTTAATTTTAATCACTTTTTTCAAATCTGTCCCCCGACCTTATTATTTTTTTAATTATTCTTTTGTTTTCTGATATTCGTCTCTTGCATAATATGATTGATTCACTTGGTATTGTTTACTTGAATCTTTCGATTGATGTTTAGGACGGTTGGCTATCAGGATTCAGTAGCTAAGTGGATAGCGCGATGACGTTCGTGAGCGGACGGTGTTTGGTTTGAGTTCCGGGGTGGACACCGACTCGGGTGCGGGTACATCTAGCT